TGGACTTGATCTTTGAGGTATCTTCCAACGATAAGAATTCTATGAATCTAAGAGTCCTTTCTTTTCTACTACCTCCAGCACGTGTCTGCCTCCTATGTCTTCACACAAGGAAGAGTGAATTAAGCAGAAGAAAAATGAGTAGAAAAGGCATACACAAGGGCACACTCTCTCCAAAGGCATTCTCATTCAGAAACAAAATAAGAAACCCTATAGTTTATCTGAACAATACTTGTTTCCAGGCTCCTTCCATTTTGCCACTGCCGCACAGTGAAACATACTGGTTCCAGTTCATTCGGGTTTGTTTAAAAAAGAATAGGAGCTTGGCCTTGGACTTAGCAAAGGAGCGAGGCAATTGAGATGTAATGGTAAATAGTTATCTCTGTCTACAGACTGAATTATTTCAGCTGTATGGCCAGCAGCTAACTTTACATACCAAGTGTTCTGTCCTCAAAAATTCAAGCATTTCTGCTGACAGTAGTTAATTTTAGAAACAACAACAAAGACCAAAAAAATTAACAAAGTGAGAAGGCAAGGAATCAAAGTCTGAAGAGAGGTAAGCAAAACCATGTTTAAAAAAAAATCTCAAATACCACTTCTATGATGCAAAAATAATTCCTTTTTTTTTTTTTTAAAAAAGAATTTTGTAACAGTATTCCACCAAATCTAACACATCTTCAGATTCCAGGCCTGTTTTCAGTAATAGCATATAGCTAAACAAATGAAATTTAGAAGTACAAGAGAAGGAACATGATTTTGTTACAAGACTTAAAATAAAGCATTCGTGCACATGCCATTATATACTTTAAGGTCCAGCTGACAGTATTCATTCCAGGATAAATGTTAGTTGGTAAATCTGAGTCTGTGGACAGATTAAATTTTTCAGTTTCTGGCACTGATTTTGCAGAAGAATTACACAAGATTAGCCTCTACTGGCAACGACTGTTACATAAGGCACGAAGACATACTTTTATTGATTCCTGGCCTGAGGAAATGGGCTTTAGCTAGTGTAAGGTAAGAGTTTCACGCACATCACTCCATAAAAGGAATAACTAGAATGAAGCAATACTTTAAAAAAAACAAACCAAAACCATTGGAACTTATTTTATAAGAACTGAGATCAGTACCATAGTCACTTCTTCACCAGCTGGGAATTTGGAGGCACTTTGGAAAGTATGGCTCAAAGTGCCATCAAAGGTATGGGAAGTGATCTTTGATTTCAGCATATATACTTTGAGTCATATAGTTAAATTCAGTGAACTTCTAACAATAGGTCCTGGATCCTATGTAAAAACACTAATTCTTCTCAGACACAAAAAGCCTGCATATTGTTTACAAATATCTTTTCTTTTAGTTTTGCAGCACTGGAGCTAGAAAAATAAATAAGTTGTACTATGAAGATTTCAGCCACTTACTGAATATTTCACTAAATAATGTGAAATAAGTGGAGCATTAGTTTTTGAGGTAGAAAAGTTTCAATATGAAATTGTTTTAGAATTAGGTTTATCCCTAAAAGGCCACACATGCACACCTCAAGACTTTGTTTCTTGGAATACATCTAACAACTAAAAGTGTTTCAGAGCAACAGTCTTGATCCAAATAACTTCCTGTAAATCCCTCCACAGAGTAATTTACTTACTTCTTCTACAGAAAGTGAAAAAGAATACAAAGCTCCTCTTCACATAGAACACAGGTCTCAGTGGAAAGTCTGTCCTCACTCATTGCTTCTTAATATCTAAATTTGTATACAGAAATCTGGAGAGAAGCTAGGATGTTACTCATTCTATCTTCCCATCCCTTTCTAGGTCTCATTCACACCTGCTTCTGCCCACCAGATCTAGATAGCAGCATCAAAAGCTCCAGCAAGAGACAAACAACAAACTTGGGTAAGAAGTCCAGGATCATCCTTACTCTGAACTTGGAGGGAAATAAACTAGCCCCTGAGAAATCCGACATCCTTTTGGAAAGGGTACCAAAATATACTGCTTTTGTTCACATGAAAGAATGGTAATTACTTTTCTGCCTCCTGGTGATTTCTCTATCAGACATACGCTGCAAGCTTCTAATGATTTTAAGGAGTTGAAAAAAAATGGCATTTAGTCCGAGTCCTTGCCCCAATAAAAACAAAGGGTCCCTGCAGAGGCTTGTCTATAGAATCCCACCTGCACACAAAACTGGAAGACAAGACACTTTTAGGGTTTAAGACAAGACAGTTTTCATGATTGTCTGTGTAAGATTCCCCAAAATCTAAGTTAGCTAAAGTTACATAAATACAATTCACAATGAGATGCTTCTACAGTTCTAAAAACTGCATCAAAATCACAACCCTCCCCCCTTCCCCAGTATAGGTTCCAAACAATCTTTCAATACCTTCAGGCCTTGAAGACAAACAGGCATCACAAATTTCAGCAGAAGGCTTGTTTATTAGGGTACAGTGCATACACGTCCACTCCTCTTCAGATTTCTGAGCTACATGTTCATTAGAACATGACCCCCTGCCATATGCCCAGCCAATTAGGCTATTTCTAGTTGGCAGTTTGCTGTGAAACAAAAGAATGATGTTAGTCTTTTTTGACGTTTCTCCTACAAATTGCCTTACACCACTATGTGCAAGGAGGCACAGTGCTGGAGAACAAGTAGTACACAAAGTTATGCCTGCCTATCATAGCTTAGAGAGCATGTCATTGTTCGAGTTTGATTTATTTATTTTTTTTTTTATTTACCTCAAGGGCAAATCTTTCCTGATGCTGCAGAAGTAATACAAACAAAGATATTTAAACAAAAACAGACAGAAAGTTAATTATTAACTGATGTACTCTCCAGCATAATGCCCCAGCCTCTCTTAAATTCCCTATCATTTTCAAGTACTGCAGCAAGAAATTTGGCAAGAAAGGGATACTGTTCCAGTACTTTGCCCCATCTCTTATACAGAAGGCTTACTAACAAATGCATTACTGGATGAAGAACTGTTCAGAAGCCGAACTACAGAAAGTCACAAAATCAATTTTCTTTTTTCTCTTATTTAAATGGTACCCATTAGACCACTTTGTTATTGTAACAATGGTAGGGATGTCCTCTAGCTACTACATGTCTTCCACAACAGGAAAACTAAGAAGGATAATGAGAACGGCTGACATACCAGAGATCCTGTGCTGTCAAGAGGTAGAACAGACATTACAGTAGCATTCACCAAAATAGTGTGGCTAGGTAACAAAACAATGGAACTGGAATTGTTAAAAATAGGTATTTTCGCATTACAAGATGAATTGTTCTGCTCTGCTATCAAAAGCGCATTACTAGACTGAATATATGCAGCACGTGATGTTTTGGAGTTCAATTCCATGAATCCCCCTCGTCCATCCATCATGTTGTTCCCCCACCCCTGCTCATATTGGAACAGGTATTATGGGGGGGGAACAGTATATTTTTAAGATTCAAGGTACCTTTGAATTTGATGAGGTAAGCTTATAATGGATATTTTCTGCACTTTTTCAGTTGAGCAAAATTATAAGCTACTTGACCCCAAAAAACATTGGTTCAAATTCTACAGTTTATGATCTATAGCAAGTCAGTCTGATCACACAGGCTGCTTTCAGTCTTCAAGCATGAAAAGCTTGGAATAGCAGATAAACCACTTCAGCTACACATACTTTTATTTGGTAACAGTTACTGCATAACAGAAAACAGAGCAGTAGAACACAAAGAACTGACCATTAGGATGAGGACAGCACAAGAAATGACTTTTTTGTTTTATAGATACCAGTACCATGTCTTTCACTGAAATATACCACTGTTTAATTATTTCTTAAAAAAAAACAAAACCAAAAGACAACAAAAAAAGATAAAACCCAAACCACTACTTGTTCTAGAACAGAGAAAGAGATTTTTTTTTTCCTTGCATCATTTTCTAGTTATCAGTCTCAATGGAACACTGCTGTCTTCCTACTCTTCTGCAAAACACTTCTCATTATTACTTTCTGAAAATACAGCTGGTTGTGGTTATCAGCCTGTGAAATATTTATCTTCCATGCTGGCATTTTCTATATTTGATCTGTACTCAAAGGCAATTTTTAAGCTTTAACCAAAATCCCTTCAGCCATCTGAATCTTGAAAGGTTAGAGGTGGGAGAGGGATTTGTGTGTTCTGCAAATCTTATCTAAAAATATATATATACACACACATACACTAATGAAGGCAAAGTTCTCAAAGCAAAGCAGTGTCTTTTATTAGATTGACAGAGCTCAGTATAAAAAGGCAAGATTCTGAAACCTCAGACGAAAATTTTCAAGAATAACTTAGGTATGTAAGAGTCTGAATAAGGTGCTTTTGGAACTTTTACCTTTTGACCCTTTGTGATATCAAATGCATTTTGTGCTTTTCTGAAATAAAAGGAGGAAAGCTGCTACTAGCACAATTTTTGTGGAACTGAAAGTGTCTGTGTGGCACATCTGTTGTAAAAGCTTTCCAAATCTGTTAAGGAGGAAGAAAAAAATGTCCTAAGCCATACAGTATTTGCTGCATTCCAAATTTACTGAAGTTTTAGTTTTTCTCAGTGGATCTCTACAGCCAGAACAAAATTGCATAGATGCACAACTATTTAGATATTCCAGGACTGAAGGGAAAGAAATAAAGACACAAATTCCTGCCTGCCTTATGCCATTCAACTCAGTTGTATGTAAACATCCAAGCCTGTTATATTGATAGCACTGAGAGCATGGGGTAATTTTTCAAGAAGCATTGAATAATTCTGAGTACTCTGAATTGTTTTATTACTCTAAGCAAATGTAGGAATGGTATCTACTTCATAACTGATGGAGCCTTTGAAAGAAATAGTATCAAAGAATCAAAGCTTTTAACCATTTCTAAATATCAATGGCCAAAACTTTTTTCTTCTGCAAAGTCAGGAGAATTTAGATACAAGGATCCATTCTACTTGAGAAGTGATGTCCTCTTACTGTAACACTTTGAGGACAGCAATGCTTAAAAGTGTTATAAAGTTACCATCATACCTAACATTGACAAGCTGGGGATCCACCTTTTGACATCGAGAGCAGAAGTAAGTCATCCTGTCATTCTCTCCTAAACGACACACAGTGATCTTCTCATTGCACTGACCACAGGCTGGGCGCTTGTATACTTTGTAGTGTTTGTAGAGTGGAGACCCAGTTTTGCGGCACTAAAACAGAACGTGTTTAAAAATCTAAGTTAGAAACCCAGTATAAGTTTTATGTCAGTCCCTGTACAGTTCAACTGAAGCTAAAATAAAAAACCCTATGTAAACTGACAGCTCAATGACTACATAAAGACACTTAAGGCACACCCATAAGGGCTATCATCTATATTTCATATTCTTTTATGAAAAGAATTGACTTTAAATTGGGTATAATAACATCTGGAATTCTCCATATAATGAAATAAAAGACAAGACAAAAAACATACTAGCATGGTGCCAGCAAATATATGCTAAGGACATCCTGCATTCATCTGGACCAGCTAGCTCTGATTCAGCACCACTCATCTTTGACCTGGCACCTGCAGGAGTGCTCTTAAAGAGCTGATGAGCTCCAATCAATGCAGCACAGAAAACAAAAATAAACATAAAACACAAAACCAACACCACCTTCCCTCACACCAAAAAGAACCAAAAAACACACTGCAGAGCCAGCTCAGACCTGACACCACAATCTGGCTTAATCAGCCTTCCCAAAACCTAAAGAACTGCGCAATGCAGAAATATTCCGGAGATTCTGTAGGAGTTGGGTAGCGCCCAGTAAAGTTGCTCAGCTTCATCTTAGCACTGGCCAGCCAGACAAGTTGCCTCATGAAAAGCCACTTGGCACTATGGCAACCTCCCTAAATCCTGGTAGAATGTCATATTAAATTAAGTACAGTACAAGCCCAAAGGCCACAGCAACATAAAGAGACTCCAGAGGGCTGACAAGCAGGCACATTTCATGAGACAATTCACATGGAGTCAGCATAGACATACCCCAGTTAAAACTGACAGAACAGCAACAAAAAAACCAAACCAAAACAAAACAAAAAAAACCCCACCAAACATGAAAAGCCCAGTAGAGATGCAGCCAATTCTGCAGAGCCACGTGAGTTTCTGCACTGCAATCGCAGTTCCTTGGGCACAGTTCAAATGATACCACAGCTGGTCCAGCAGTACCAGCCCGGCTATGGTAGAGTTCAATAGCTCTGGCTCCATAATGCATGAAGACCCTCGGGAGTTTTCCCAAAATATAGGTATCTGAGCACAGCATATTTGCTTCTGCTGTGCTCTTATTCATCAGCCTTGCTGCATGAGAATGCTTTTGACAGTACAATCCAGTAATTCAATCAGAAGGAATTACTAATATATATTTGCATGAATATTCACAAGCAGTTTGCTTTCTCCTCAAGGTTTACAGATAGTTTCTTAGTAGTTTCCTCTCATCCAGTTATTTAAAAACCAAGCAAAAGCAACAGCTTTTTACACAAAAAAAGATTCCTCATCTTTGCATCTGTAAGGTGTAAATACATATGATATAGTATGATTACTACAAGCATTTTATAACAGTCTATAAAAATGATCAAGCACTACCCCTCTTATTAACCTATTTTTGTTACGTTTTTATTTTAGAGACTTGGGTGGGGACGACTAGCTGTCCTTGAAAATCACTTGACTGGTGAATATTTGCTAAATATAGGTTATAAAAGTTTTGAAAATGGCTAAACTGAGCTACAGAAAGTTTAACTTACTTGTTTATTGTGAGTCTAAAAGCCCGTGACACATTTAAATCTCCTAGTAGTATAGTTGTTGCAGAACCAGATGCCATCTCTCTACCGGTAGACTTCAGTATAAAGTTTGGAGAATTAAAAGGTTTCATCAGTTCTTTGAGTAGAAACCAACAGACTAAACTACTCTTTGGTGTGTTGAGGGAAAGCAGACATATAAGCAGACTATTAAACAAATTACATTTTTAGCCTTTAGGATTGAAAGATGGTACTAGGAAAGTTAGGTGCCCTCCTCCTAGCCCACCAAAAAAAGAATTTTTAGCAGCACTAGCTATTTTTAGCTACCTTCTGTGAATACCAAGAGAAACAGACAAGAATTTCACTGCTGCTGTTCATTTCTCCGCATGCAGCTTGAAGAAGAAAAACATACAAAAATTAGGTTAAATTCTCTGTTTTTCTATTTTGGAAAGTTGAAGAGCAATCAGGAATTATAGAGTTTACAGGGGAAGAAATGAAATCCTACTGAATTTGTGACAGTAGGGGGAAGCTGGAATTTATTTCACTTTAGCAACCAAAAAACGTTGTTTCAGTTAGAAAAAAAAGTTGTTAGAAGTTACAATCTATTTAGTCAAATAAATATACTTGCTATTTCAAGTTTCATAAAGGAAGCTACATGAATTACCTTCATACTTCCTTGGGGCAATCTCTAGTTCCCAGTTTGAAGTGACCTTTATGTTATCTTACATATAAGTTTGTGCTTAACTCGCATCAATTCTCACAAGTTCAAAGTGACGTTACAATGCATGCATAGCAAAACTGAACTGGCCCTCGGGCACTATCTGTCAAATACTTCTGCTGCAACTGGGCCAAGCTGTGCACATTCTTACAGTCCAGACTCCCCCACCTTTCCATCATTTGACAATTCACAATTAATATAGAGGACACAAACCAACATTCCTATTCATGAAACGCTTGTCCTGTTGCATCTTTTTACCGTTTTCATTAGACGATCACCATGCCAGAGTCAAGTTTTGGAGGTTTCTTAGAAACATGTGCCCATACCTTATAAAAAAGCAGGGTAAAGTCACGTGTCATTTTCACCAAGTGACGTATATGCTCATCTGTCAGTTGGCAAACCTGTAAGACAAGAACGATTTTTAGAATATTACGATGCTAAGGGACAGCAGAAAGACCTATAATGCAAGGGCACTATGAACACCTCCAGCTGATGTGGAATTGCATTGCTTCCTGTATGATAATTCTCTGACTTCACATTATTTGTATCATCTCAGTAAAACATTATATTTTCACATTCTACACTACACAAACTCACTGGGTGAATACAAAGCAATGTACTTTGCCTCATCCACACAAAACATTAAGTAAAAATTTCAGTTGTCTTCCTCTACGTTGACCTAAGAGATCATGATCACAGGAATTACATGGCGTTAACAACTTTGTTCCCTTTTAATTTTCTCATAGATTATGATACGATGTATCTATCACCAGAGGCTCTTTCCTGTGAGAGACCTTCAGGAATACTTAAGCCAAAGGCATCACAATTAGAGAGATGTATCAACTAAATATATTTTTGTTAAGAACTCAAAATTAAGTCACACTTTTCTTTCCTCTGCCAGCTCACATTGCAGATTCAATTAAAATCCAGACTGATCCTAAGAACAACTTTCAAAATTTTATGTTTAAAACACCTTTCAGTTATTATTGTCACCAGCTTTCCTTTACATTCTATGTAATCTCAATCTGTTTTGTAAACATCAGACTTCTTTTCAACCAAAGTTTGGAGACACCTGCTTGAGGATCTTAACCAAAAAAAATATGGTAAAAAATGGTAGAAAAGCAAGTGATGCCAGCTAACAGGACAGGAAGTGGAAGAAGCAGCTGCAAAAATAATGAGGTCTACCCCATAAACTATTTTGGGTAATAACTGAGCAAAGAAAGCCTGAGCACTTTTCACTTTCGTTTATTTATAGGCTGACAATGTGATGGTAGCACAACAGACAATAATGCCAGACAAAGGCAGGATTTGAAAGTTAAATGAATTCCCTACTAAGGAGAGGTTTCAAGTTGTGAGAGAGAAGGCTTAGCCCCACAAAATATGTCTACTCTGTGATGCAAGAGTAGGAGCAACAGG